TGTTCACCTTTTCCAATACCAAATAGCAGCAATGACTAAAACCTCCAACTTTCTTCTCTGGGTACCAGATTACCCTAACAAACCCTCAACCATTAAGAATTCATTTATAAAATATTCTCCTTGTTTATTTTATTAAAATTATTTATCTTTAGTATACCATGCACACATTCTAAAAAGCTTTAATGTTTTTACTCATACTAGAAAGTATCCACAGAAAATTCATGTTAACTATGCCACAAAACTATGATTCTAAGACAGTATCAGTTATAACATGCATCCTGAACTGCTGAGAGACAAAACCTTCCCATAAATAACTTACAAAAAATGAAAAGGAATACTTCATTGTTTATTTACAATTACTTACTTTTTTGGGGGATGGGGGTACTGGGGATTGAATCCAGGGGTGCTCTATTACTGAGCTAAAAGTTCTCGCTAAATTCCTGACACTGGCCTTGAGTTTGTAATTCTTCTGCCTGGGTCTTCTGATTCCCTGGGATTACAGGCCAGGAATACATAGGAGAGTATGCACCACACCTGGCTACACTTCCATTTTTTGTGGTATAAGACAACAAATGTTAATGTATATGAGATAACAGAACACTCCCACATATTAAATAGAAACATTCTACTACACATTTGTATGTGTTAAATAATTAGGTAACTTGTGTCTTAAATGCTTTATATTATGCAGAAATCCTTGGTGAACTGTCATATACGTTGAGTGTTAAAATGATATCAGGGAAACTGTTCAGGATTTTGTGTGGCTGGAAAATCATTATTAATTTTCCTATTCAAAACAATGGAATACAGGGTACCACTTCCCCAAAAATCATCACACATAAAGGAGGATGCACCCATAGACATGGAAACACACATATCTAATAATATAAAATTAAGAATAATAGAACACAAAATTCAAACTAATGACAACTTCTAGACAAGAAGGCAAGGAAAGAAATGGGGCATGGAAATATATCTGTAAGTATACTGAACAAGCTGCAAAATACATATTTGTTAAAAGCAAAGATAACAAATCACATCTCATTTAAATATTTACTAGCAAGGATCAGATAATATATACTCCAAACTGTAAAGAGTAAAGTTGTGAAGGTTAACTACCACACTGTATTTTTTTTATCACAATTCTTTTTTTAAGTATTTAAAAAAAGATATTTTAATACTTTTTAATTAAATATATTTTTTAGTTGTAGATGGACACAATACTTTTATTTTCTTTCTTTATTTTTATGTGGTGCTGAGGATCAAACCTAGTGCCTCATGTGTGCCAGGCAAGCACTCTACCAATGAGCCACAACCCCAACCCTATATTTTAATATTTCTGTCAACATTTTTGCAATGAGTATCTATTACTTAGGTGATTTAAAAAATTAAAAGAGGAAATTAGCTCATATTGAAAAGTTCCATTCAGAGTAACATCTAAAAATCTTGGAAATATCAGTAGTAGGCTACCTACCATATTTCCGTACTTCTTCATTTCCGTTGTTTCACTGTTTTTATTTAATAGGCACTGAATCCTTATCTTTATAGTAGGTACCATGTTAGGTACTGGCAATACTAAATAGGTACAGTTTTAGTGTTCAAGAAGTTTGAAACTGAAGCATTGTCTAATGAAATTTTCTGCAGTAATAGAAACATTCTAATTTGCACTCTTCAAATACGGTAGCCATTAGCAGCATATAGCTTTTGAACATTTGAAATGAGGCTTATGACTGACAAAAACAGAATTTTAATATTTAATTTACGAACTTAAATTTAAGTAGCCATTTGTGACTAATGCCCACAGTATTAGAAAACACAGGTCTACAGGAAAACAAGAACAAACAAACAGATAGGTGAGTACAATGTATTATGGTAAACAGTAAACTACAAGTATGCAGAAAATCTATGAAAGAAAGCATAAGCACTACACCAATGGTAGCACAGCTTCTAGAAAAATTCAAAACAATTCTTGACTTGTGAAGAAAGGTAACAGATGCATTTTAAATAAAAGGAACCAATATAAGTAAAGCCTTGAAAGTATAAAGTGACAGCAGGACACTAAAAGCATCTTTGTGTTACTAAATAGAAAAGTCTACTATAAGGAATAAGAGAAGAGGCACTGGAAAGGTAAAAACCATATGGTAGATCAGAATGTACAAAGACTATGTGTAATGTTTAGAAGCTTAAATAAAAAAGGAAAAGTCATTGGTAAATTAAATTGGTAATTAAGATGATGTAAATCTGTGTACGCTCCTATCTCAGGTAAAATAAGTGTAAATTAGAGGAAGGTAAGAAAATTTTTATAAAAAAACTGACATTACATTTCCACGAAGAAAGTTTGATAATTCTTCCAAAATGAATGAACTGTGAACCATTTTGTCTGACCTGAACTAATACACAAATCTATATGAGTAAATAAACTTTACTGTATTTAAACTCTGAATGCCAAACTGGGCTTATGTTTATGGTGAAAAAGAAGCTATACAAAGTAGATACCACCATAAAAATCAATGGTTTAACCACGGCCGATCTGAAAATCACTTTTTAAAAAAAAAAAATTTATTTTTTAGTTATAGTTGTACACAATACTTTAATTTTGTTTATTTATTTTTATGTGGTGCTGAGGATCGAACCCAGAGCCTTGCATGTGCTAGGCAAGCGCTCTACCGCTGAGCCACAATCCCAGCCCCTGAAAATCACTTTCAGCACACAGCTAAAAAAATGCACCTTTCTAAACTAAATTCCTAAGGCTTTAATCAAGTCCATAAGAAATGAAAACTGGAGAAATACTATGCTTATTAAACTGTGGAATACTAGTATATTATCAGGATGCTTGAATCAAGAACCTTCCAAAAGCAAAAGCCCTCAAAGAGAAATTAAAATAGCAATAAATATGGATAAAGAAATTCAATTTTACCCATGAAAAATAATAAAATTTCTTTAACAGAAATTTTTAAAAACCTAAATGAGTTTCATCTCAGAATATACAAAATAAGTTATCAGCATGAATATAAGTGTTATTTTAGTAATTTACTTAATATTCCTTTGACTCTCCCATATGCTCTTAAACTAGACAGGAAACCATATTTCTATACATGTTTTTTTCAGAGGAAGCTTTAAAAATAAAACAATTTTATAATGCCAACGTAAACAACTGTTTCCAAGGATATTTCAACAGGTTTGTTAAGCATCAATATATAACAACAAAAGAAAAAAGGAAAAAAAATTTAGCCAGCAAAACCCTAACTAAGACTGTATTTTCCAGGTAAGCTCAAAAACCTATTATTATTCGTGAATAAGGTGACTGGAATAACAGGATATTTTTAGTGCAGCATGAGCTAAGAATAAGCAAATCTCTTCACATGTAAAGCACAATTCTGTTTTACTCCTTTCTTAAGTAGAAATTTTGGAATTCTATGTGAATATGGTTCCATGAGGCAAATTAACTGTACAATTACAACAAATATTCTCTACTCACACTTTACAAACTGAATAGTGAGCACTGAAATGCCACATAACCTACAATTTCAATATTCTTAAAATAATTTAGCAGAACCTACCAAAAGATGTAAAGGCCCAAGAAATATGATCAATCAAAATCTATGAGTCAAGCTTATTGGAAGTGGTTATAAGGCAGAAAGAGATACACCAAGTACAAATAATCAGTAAAGTCTATATTGGTCAAGTCTATAGAACAAATCAGAAAAAATGGTTACAGGAAGAAATGATTCAACATAGCTCCAGCTTATTCTGGCTTATTAAAATCATAAAGATCTGGCAAGAAACTTCACAAATCAAGTTAGACCAAACTCTAAAAAGATTAAATATGAACTTATCTTTTATCAGGGATAGTGCCCAAACCAAAACTCATAATCAAAGGCTCTTTGCTAATACACACTGTGAAAAACTCAAAAGTTTCATTTTTCTCCACTGTTCACTTTCCCAATTTCAGGGGAAAAAGGATTAACTGCACTAAAACAATTGACTGGTAGATAAATGAGTAATGAACCAAAGCTGCTGTTATCACACTAGTTACCTTTGACAAACTAGAGGGAATGAAACTAGTGGGGTGAGAGAAAAAGGTTGACATATGTCTGTGCAAAAAGCCTTAGAAATGTATTTTTCCTATTTGAGCTTTAAACTATTTTCTATTCTAGATTATTACATGATTTAATAAAGAGTCACTATCAAATGAATAAAGCAACTTTCCCTTAAAAAACTAAAGTCAAATGTTTGGTTTACAAAAATCACTGTTTAATAGCATTATCTTTAAAATTCACCTTCTTTTTTCTTTACAGTGCTGGAGATTGAACCCAGGGCTTGACTCATGCTAGGCAAGTGCTCTACCACTGAGCAACATCACAGTACTAATATTCACCCTTTTTTAAAAGCTCAAAAAGAAATAGGAATGTTACATTTCAAATATCTTTTTGGCATTCCTACATACTATATAAGGGATGGATATTATTAACCAACCTATTAAACGAGAAACAAGACTCTAGCATTGTAAAAACAGCCAACTACTACAAATTTAACAGAATTTGGATCTTTAAATACCCTAGGTGTCTCATTTCTGTTTCTTTCACATTCTATTAAATTCTGTCTGTATTTTTTACGAGTCTATTTTGCAAAATATAACCAGGGCTTAGGTTTTAGTCTCTCAGTGATATGTGTAAAGGCAATCAACACTTTGTTTCATTAATTATTACCTGAGTCCAGCTACAAAGTCATAAATTATGTATCAGATAATCTGTTTTAAAATATCAGAAAAATTTGACACTAAAAAAAAGTACATTATGAACATGCTTTATTTAGAAAAATGTTCCCAACTATTACAACTGTCAAATCCAATACATACCTTTAAAATTGTAATCCAAATTTTCCAAATTAAGGTGTATTCCTTGGAATTTATTAGTTCCAATTAAATATAACACACCAAAACAGTTTAATGCTATATGACAAATATTTTTTTAAAAATGGAAAAGAAAGAATGGTCTTACCTGGTAGTTTCTTTTCTCAGATAATGTATGTCCATCAGTCCTCACCATAGAGTCTTGTCCTTTCCTCACAGTACTGGAGGCAATCAAATAGAACTGTCACTCAAGGGTCGTGTCACAGGAAGGACCGCCCACCAGTTCTCCCTCTAGAGTGGAATTATCCAAAAGCCATCAAAATTACTAACATGAAAATATTTGAACAGTAGCAAAACTATCCAATATGATACACAAAAACATGAGAAAGAAAATAAAAAGTCATTATCTTATACTCTATCTTTCCTCTTAAACATTTAGCGTTAAAATTGGCATACATACTTTGAGACAGAAATTATTAAATATGAAAAACTCTCTCCTGCTACTCCTACTTTCTTTAATTATAAGTGTTCCCAAATATCATTATCAAAAAGAAAATTAAAAGTAAATAAAAAATTAAGTGGGTAAAAAAAGCTCACTCCTCACCTAATATATTTTTTTCTTTTAAGTATTCTCTGGTTACTCTCAGAAATATTCAATTTAGATTCAGCCACGTAACTATATATTCTCCCCAAAGCTTACGTAATTTAGGTAATACAGAAATATAAGTTATATAGCTATTGATTCATGCCACTCATGAGGCTTATTCCTATGCCATAAAATGGAAATACATTATATATTTTAGGATGATTGATAGATGCAAACCTAATTCAATATTCTGTTAAATTTTACTCCACTGAAAAACAACAAATCCCAAATCTTATGATGCCTTGGTCCTTCAGTATTCCTATTTCATGCATACTCCAACAGAATTCACTTTTTTCACATTGGCAAAAACAATAATGGGACTCATTTCTTAACCTAGACAGAGATAAATAAATCCAAAGTAACTAGGCACTGTGCACGTCAGGTACAAAAATCAATGAAGCAGAGATGGTAGTCATCAGAAACGCTACCACAAAAATGTATATTGAAAATCAAACATTGAAAGAGTCAAAGATGGTGTCTACAAAAAAATTTATATAGACACATTATCAAGACAAATGTCTTACAACTAAATTTAAGTAAAACAATTACCCTAAGTAGTATTTATACCAAATGAACCAATAATGTTGCTAATGATTAATATTTATATTCAAATTTAGAAGAATTATTTATTATCATATGAAATACACTTTAGAAGGGGATAATAAAATCATCTTAATTTATAATTCAAAAGGAGAATGAACCAGTATTAGTAAAACCAACAGAGAGAAAGAGACAGAGAGAGAGAGACACACACACACACACACACACACACACAATTACCTCTAAAAACCAATCTGCTAAGAAGGGAATAACTATTTTTAAGGAAAACAAATCATTAAAAAACTAATATTATTAGATTCAATATTTAAAAGAATTCAGGTGATGATTACCTATCTTCTGGCTCCATTTTATATGTTTGATTATAAAGTCAGTGAAAGCTGTATTTTTACTCATTTTTTTTACCATCTTACATTATATACATTAGGATGAAATATTTGAGGATACCTTACTATGTGGCAATACTGTTAATTATTTGTTACTAAATTCATATGTACCTTAAAAATTGAGTCTATCTCTCAAATATAGTAAGGTGGAAAGGTTTCTCAACCCTAAGTATATTTGCAATAAAAACGCAAATCCTTTATCATTTAGCAAGGAAAAAAAAACTACCAAACAAACTGTATGTCCAAGAATTGTTAAGTGACACAGACATTTGGCTCCAACTTAAGTTGTTTCAAAAAGAGAAAAGCATTATCATCTAAACATTATTCCTTTTTAAATAATTTTAATATCATAATTTCAGAATATTAGTAAATTTGAAAATCTAAAATCAAAACTCAAGCAAAATAATTTTAATAATCTTAATGCCATACACACCTTTAACAATACAACCTAATTGTACAGAAAATATTAGAATTGAATCCTTTGATGCTAAATATATATTAACAATAAAATTAATATTTAATCTGTAAATTTACCAGATAAAAGAAAAAGCTTCAATTGGGAGAACAGATTTTTTTTAATTTTTAAATTTTTTTTAGTTATAGATGGACACAATACCTTTACTTTATTTGTTTTTGTTTGTTTGTTTGTTTGTTTTTGTTTTTTATGTGGCCCTGGGGATTGAACCCAGTGCCTCAAGCATGCTAGGTAAGCTCTCTACCATTGAGTCACAACCCCAGCCCCAACCACAGACTTTAGTATGAAGAAAAACCTTGTTCATTGTTTGCTTCCTCCTTTTGGGATAATTTCAAATATTTCATGGCCTAGGGTTTTAATCCATAGCCAACATATATGCTTACCAATATAGGAATCTATATTAAACTAAACATCATGATCTCCTTTTAGTATACAAAAGAGTATACATTTACTTCTTCCAAGTAACGTAAAAAACTAACATTTGTCACCGCTATCTTCAGTATATTGTATTAAATAAAAATGTTTGGTATTACACTGTGTTCATAATCTTCATATTTGGAATGTGATAATGCACAATAAATGCAAGAGGATGTGAGCATTATGTTAAAAAGAGAATATGTAAAAAGCAACAAGCATGAGAAAAAAATATGTGTATATATTAAGATTTATACACTACTTTCCTCCAAAGCCCTACAAATATTAAAAAAGTCAGAAAGGACAACTACAGATTTACCAAACTACAAATAAATTTTCTATAAGGCAGGAATGTCTTACATGACAGTAAACAAATACATTTACTCCAACTTAAATAACCAGAAAACTACACAAAAACACAAGAAACAATTTTTTTAAGACATTTAAACAACAGTCATCTTAAAACAAAGAGCATCAAGAAAAAGAACATAAAGTGAGCTCTATCTGCTGCCAGTTCATTGCCTCTAGTTTTGAGGATACTAAAAGGGGAAAGTGGAACTCAGTGAGAACCTAATGTTCTCACAGAATTAAACCAATGGTCTAAAAAATATTTACAGTTTGGGAGACACCAAAGCAGCTAGAATCTGTAGAGCAAATGGACAAAAGGAAGTTTTATTTCTACCTTAAGGTTTAAGCAGAGTAATGATTTAAGCGTGTGTGTGACAAAACTATTGAGTCTAGAGAAAAGGCCTCTGAAGAGGAATAGTCAAAACAATTCTGAGTTCATGTTAGCATCAACCAGACTAGAAGGACTTATTAACATGGGGTACCAAGTACAGTTCAGAAGGTAGTGAATGCCTCAGCAATAAAATCAAATAAGCTTTAGACCAAAAGATGCTCTGGACTGGCACTAACAAAGCTTAAAACCAACCTCTAAAAAGATCATACTGATTCTAAGTAACATGGCTATACCTCAAAACAAAGCCCAATTATACAGAAAATAATTCAACACACTTTAGCATAAAAGAATGTAAAATTAAGTATGTGGCACTCAATCAAAATGAGGAAATACAACCTTTAACAAAGTGAAATACAATAAAAGGAAATAAATCATCACAGATAATAGAATTAGTAGACAAAAAATGTAAACAAGGTATTAAAAATATATTCCAAACACTTAAAAGACCCCAATTGGCTACACAAGGGAATTTCTTGATGGTAATAGAAAAGTTCTGTATCTTGGTTTTGATGGTGTTATGTGACATGTGATAAAATAGCCTAATATGAAAGAGAAATACATTAAAAACCGTGGGTACATACAAAAACTGGTAAAATCTGAGACAGATCTAAAGCCTGATTATTTTGTGCCAATCAACCACTAGTTTCAATAATGCACTATAGTTATATAAGATAACACCTTTAGGAAAAGTTATGGGCATATGAAACATCTTTATGAGTTTTATACTTACTTGAAAATTAAAAATATATTTTAAAGGCTGAGACTTATCTTCTAGACATAAAAATTCAAACATAAAGAAAAACACACTGACTAGGATTAACAGGAAATTCAATAATACAAAAAAGCTTAATGAACTTGAAGATACAGCAGTAGAAAAAAATCCAAAATTAAATGATGGGAAAAATAATTAGAAAGAAAAAAAGAACTGTGGAAAAGTGAACTATGAACTTTGGAATGGTATCAAATAGCATCTTTTCAAGGGTCTAGCATTCGTGTAATTACTATCCAAGGAAGAATGAAAAAGATAAAAAAACAACAATCATATTTGTTTAGAACAATACTACAAACTCACAACCTCTAAAGGGAACAATCATAACACTATAGAGGAAAATTACTAAAAAAACAGCAATAAAGAGGAGAACCTCAGCCAGGTATGATAGCATATGCCTATAATCCAAATTATTCAGGAAGATGAGGCAGGATTCCAAGTTTAAGGCCAGCACAGATAAAAGAGCAAGATCTTATCTCAAAATTAAAAAGGGCTGGGGGAAGTAGTTTAGTAGTAGAGCACTTGCCTAGCATATGAGAGGCCCAAGGTTCACAGCCCAGTACAGCCCCCTCCAAAAAAACAGAAAGAATCTTAAAGCCCACAAGTGTAGGGATGACATCAGAAACAGTTCAAATCAGGGTACTATGGATGAAAATTTTTAAAATACAGAAAGAAAAATTATCAACAAAGAATTCTAAAACTCAGCTTTCAAAAATGAAAACAAGTACAGTCACTTTAGAATACAGTTCAGCAGTATAAACTTTACAATATAAACCATGATCACATCAAAACCCATAGAAGAACATCTATACTAACAACGTTCTTCAATAGGTAAATGGATAGAGTATATGACAGAATATAATTCAACAATAAAAAAGAATCAACTACGAATTCATTCACATATGCCAATCTTAATTTGGAAAGAATCAGGATGAAAAAAGACCACTAATGAGTCCAGAAAAGGCAAAAAAAAAAAAAGCAACAACTGATCAATTTCTTTCCTCAGGCGTGTTTTCAAAGATAAAAAATAGTGTTTTAGATGGAATTTTTTAAATGCCTACAGCTCCAAAATTTTCTATTTTAAACATTCCATGTCTTTATTCAGAAAAGTGGATAATTACAATTAATTTTTTCCATGTTTCCTTTTTTCTCCCACTTCACTGCTCAATAGTATTTAAAACAATGTCCAAATATTTTGGAGGTTGGAAATGGCATCTAAAACATCTGTAATTTGGTAGTCATTATACACTCAGCTTTAAGTTAAATTTGAATTTAGTCAGGTTAAAACAGTTTTTCTTCTTTTC